TCCAGATCTTCTTTTTTAAGTGTTTATTGTTGTAAATTGTCTGCTGAAGGCTGCTTTCAGCATGTCTATTAGTTTCAGTATTGGTTTTTCATTTTCACTTAACTCAAGGGATTTTTGTTTTTCTTTTTCTTTTTTTTTAATTGATCCATTGGCTATTTGGTGGTTTGTTGTTTAATTCCCATGTATTAGTGTTTATAACTTTCATTTTGTTATCAATTTCTAATATTATTCTTTTGTGTATGGAGAAGATATACCTTGCATTATTTAATTAAATAAAATGATAATTTTTTTTGGCTTACCATATGATCTAGCCTAGAGAATGATGTATGTTAAGAGGATTGAAATGTTTATTGTTCTGATGATGGGTATGTTGTTGTTGTTGTTGTTTGCCGTTGAGTCAGCCCCGACTCATAGCGACCCCTCCTTGGGTTTCCAAGGCAGTATAACTACGGAAGTAGGATTGCCCAACCTTCCTAGTGTTATATATATGGCTGTTAGATCCAATTGATTTTTTATACTATTATATTAATCCTATATGTCCTTACTTACCTTCTTTTTAGATATCCTGGCCAATATTGATGTGATGTATTGAAGTCCTCAACTATTATTGTGGAATTATCTTTTGTTTCTTTTGGATTTTCCAGTACTTTTTCATATTTGGGGGCTCTGATGTTAGGTGTGGAAATGTTTATAACTGTTATGTCTTCTTGGTGGATTAACCCTTTTTATAATTATTTAATTTTCTTGTTCATCTTTTATAACACATTTTTTTTTCAAAATCTATTTTGGCAGATATCAGTTTGCTCTTCCCTGAACTCTTTGGATATGCATGGAATATTCATTTTCATTCTTTTGTTTTTAGTCTGTTTGGGTCCTTGGGATTAACATATATATCTTACATATAGCATAAGAATGTATCTTTAAATAAATAAATAAATCCATTCTACAATTCTCTGCCTTAATGGGGAGTTTGAACCATTTGCAATTAAGGTAATTACTGAAAATGAAGAACATACTTCATTTATTTTGCTAATTATCTTTTTGGTATGTTTTGTCTCACACTTCTCTCACATTTTTTGTCTATGATTAGTTTTTTTTTTGTTTGTTTGTTTATGTGTTTTGATTTATTCCTTCTTCAGTCTGTGTATATATTCTAAATATTTTCTTAGTATTTAACACAGTTACCACATTTAACAGCATAAAATTGCACCAACTTATTTTAGCTTGATTCTAATATTTAACATACAAAGAACAAGAAACATATAATGCTAACATATTAAATATCTATTTCTAGTTTGCTCCTGTCTCCCCAATCCTATTGTTGTACCATCAATTACATCATTATATATCTTATGTGTGTTAGGTTAAATTTGTATTTATTTATCGCACATTCCATATAATATTGTTGTAGAATTTAACTACTAAGTTTAACACCTAAAAATTTCATACAATTAGTCCTTTTGTAAGCCCATGATGTTACTTTTATTAGAGATCTTGCTCTCTTTTTTTTCCACATGCAAATTCTAGTACCTGTCTAGTGCTCTTTTTCTGTCTAGTGAAAAACTACCTAAAGTAATTCTTGCAAAGCAAGTCTAATGTTAGTAAATTTCCATAGATTTTGTTTATTTCAAAGTGTTTTTATTTCATCCTCATTTTTGAATGACAACATTGTTGGACAAAGAATTCTTGGTACAATTGTTTTTCCTTCAATACTTTATATATATCATCCCATTCCCTCCTGGCCTCTGGGGTTTCTGATGAAAAATTGTCATTAATTCTTATCAAGCACCCCTTATATATTATACTGTGCTTTTTTTTTTTCCTCTTGCTGTCTTAATTTTTAAGCATTTTATTTCAATATGCTTGGTGTAGATCCCATTATGTTATATTCCTTCTACATGGGGTTGGCATAGATTCCAGGATTTACAGGCTTGATATCTTACTCAGGTCTGGGAAATTGTCCTTGTAATTTGGAAAATTCTTTCCATCCCTTTAATTCATTTTCTGCAATTCCTATAACCCTAACATTAAATATTTTAGTTGTGTACCACAATTCCATTTGGCTTTATTCACTTTTCTTTCTTTTTGTTTTCTCTTGTTTCTCTTGAGACATATATTAAATAACCATGTCTTCCAGTTTGCTTATTCTGTCTTTTGTTGGCTCAAATCTACTGTTGTAGTCTTCTCTTTAATTTTACAACTCTATAATTTTATTTATTGCTTCTAGTATTTCTATTTGGTTATTTTTAACATTTTCTAACATTATTTGAATTTCTCATTTCATTTCTTGCTCTCAATAGTTGGTTTTCTGTGTGTCCCTTGCTTTTTTGAGTATTTTTTAATATTTTTGTCAGGAAGTCCTCTATTCCCCCCCTAGCCTGTCCTCCACAGGAATAGTTTCCATTTCTTCCTGTTTTTCTTTTAATTGGGCCATTTTTTCTTGGCTTCTTGTATACCTTAAAACTATTTTCTTGAATCTGAGGCATTTGAGTGTTATACTGTGGTTGCTCAGGAGCTCACAATCTTTTTTTCCTATTTTCTTTCTCCTTATTTCTTCTCTGTTTCCCAAAAATCCATTGGAGGGTACACTTCCCCAAAAGTTTTCCAAGTCTGACTTAAATTTTCTAGGGATTTGTGTTTTTCTCCCCTCTTCTGTCACATAACAACAACCCCTCTTCTGTGGCAAGGTTCAGAGAATTTGATTATATTTAATGGCCTGTGCTTGAGGCTTCCTACTTGGATTGAGAAGGAAAAGGAAGGAACCCTCTTAAGCTGTGAACAGGAATATCTTCCTGCCTTGTAAGATGTGGCAGGGGAGGTTGAGGGGACTATTTTCTCCCTAAGGTTCACTTGTCTTGTTTAACTTCAGAAAGATATTTGGAACTCAAAGTGTTGTACTGTTAGTTAAATTTTAACTCTTTAATTGTTCTCCTTTTCCAAAGGAGTCAGCTTTCTGTTTGAATTCCATAGCTTGCCTCCACTTGCATTTCATTTAGTTTGTGGTTCACAATTTAAATTGGAGCATGGCAGAAAATGTTCCCTAAGACACTGAAAATAAATATTTTTCCTGTCTTGTAATATTTTGGGGTAGTAACTTCTTCTTGTAGATCATTTACTTCTACCTGATCTTAGAGAGATATTTGGTCTTTGAGTCAGTTAAATTTAAGTTTCTTCACTGTTTTCTTATCTTTAGCCATTCCCCTAGTTGTGTTTCTCTAAGTTCTTCTGCCCACTTCTCACTGTGTTTGTGTCTCCTAGGCTTAGATAAGAACAAAGCAGGAGGGACTCTGTTAGCCCTGGAGAAAGATTTTCCTGACTTTTAAAATTTTGGATGGAACTTTTTTCATCCTGTTGATCTATTTTCCTGGGTGCTCCCATTAAGATATTAAGACATTGATGTATTGTGTCATCTGAAAAATTAAATTCTCCCTAGACTGTAGGAACCAGTTCACTACCTGTGTTTCTCAGCAAAGTTCAGTCCACTGTGCTTGAGGCTCCAGGCTTAGATGGGGCAGAGCAAGAAGAACTCTCATAATCCAAAAAATAAAAATTGTCCTACCTTGTAAATGCCTCTTTCTTCCTTCAGTCAGTCTTTCTATTTATTTGAATGGTTGTTACAGTCTTGAGTTCATTTGTTTTTCCACAAACTTTCTGTTATGTTCCTTCTTTCCTTTTTTCTTTCTTTCCTCCTCACATTTTTATGGGGAAATTGAGATGCTTGATTACCTAGGTAACCATTTTGGGAGAAGAGCTGACGTTGCATTCTTCTCTTCTTGTAATGATATCTTGCCATTTCTATCATGTAATGTTAGATAGTTTCCATGATACTTCCAATTATAGTGCAACCAAGAGCACTTATAAAGACAAAACATATACAAACGTTTTTGTCCTCATGGAAAAATATGATTCCTAAACATAAGGAGCTCTGGTGGTATAGTGCCTAAGGCATTTCACTGATAACCAGAAGCCTGACATTTAAACCCACCTGCCATTCTTCAGAAAGAAGACTGGGCAATCTACTTCTGTAGAGATCCCACCTTGGAAACCCAAGGAGGTGTTGCTATGAGTTGGAACCAACTCCACAGCTGTGAGTTTGGTTTTGGTTTTATATATAAGAATTACCAGTAAGCTGAAGTAAGATATTAAATAGAACTTTGCAGATGAGTGAAAGCCTGCATAATTATAAGCATGGTTTTGAAGACCTTGGATGATACAAGTAGCTACTAACCTAAAAGATGGAGGTTTGAATCTACTCTGGTGACTCTGGTAAAACAACAGTTGGTGATCTGTCTCCACAAAAGTTATGGTCAAGAAAACCCAATAGGAGTTTACCACTTAGATCAATTAGCCTTGAGATAGCAGAAGGGTGGTATTTGCATAGAGGGAAAGCTGGACAAACATGAATGCATGGATAAATATGAAGGACACAGGGAAAGGGTAGTAACAAGTAAGAGATAGGAGGAGAGCTTTTTGTTGTTGGGGTTTGTAATTGGTGTTGTGAAACCAAAGTGCATGAACTGTTGAGAGTGAAACAAACCTGTTTTACAAATT